TTTTTTTTTTTTTCTCTTTTCTTCTATTTTCTTACTTTCTTTTTTGAAGTTGTGATGGTGGTAACTGGTGCGCCCTTGAAGTTCCAGTGTGTGTATGTGTGTGTGTGTGTGTGTGTGTGTGTGTGTGTGTGTGTGTGTGTGTGTGTGTGTGTGTGTGTGTGTGTGTGTGTGTGTGTGTGTGTGTGTGTGTGTGTGTGTGTGTGAGGACGGAGGGGGGGAGGGAGTGAGGCTTAGCGGTAAAAGGAATGGGGAGGAGTATAGGGGGCGTAAGATGGGGAAGCAGACGACTAGAGGAGGACGGAGAGGGGGAGGGGGAGGGGGAGGGCTGTAGCTGGCGTGGGTGTGGTGTGTTGTACACGAGGGGATAAGGGGGGGAAAGCAGAGGGGAGGGGGAAGGGAAGGGGATGGAGAGCGAATGGGAAGGGGGAGGCGGAGGAGGGTGGGGAGGGGAGGAGGTGTGGTGCAATGTGACAGGTGTGGTTACTCGAGGACTGTTTGGGGGGAGGGGGGAGGCTGTTTAAGAAAAGCTTGTTTTACAATGGGCTCACGAACGTGCTCGCGCTGTTACACATTTCCCGTATACATCGGCACGCACGCGGGGCGGAGGTATCGTCACTTGCTGTTTCCAGTTAATTAGACACAAACACAACATATGCATATAATTCATACACACAAAGCGACACACACGCATAACGCACTGTTCCTCATTGTAATTAGACACACACACACAACACACACACACACACACACACACACACACACACACACACACACACACACACACACACACACACACACACACACACACACACACACACACACACACCACCCGCAACCCTCTCCCCCCTCACGCACACGCACATACGTCCGTCGGAGGATAAGCAGCGGTGAGTGTGCCTGCAGCCTGCCTTCTTTTACCTGGGGTGAACGACCGCTCAACACACCAGCCGCACAAAAAACGCGGCGAGCCTCGCTTTTGCGGACTCGCCGTTCGCGGATTTTGTTCTCGGTGGGGGAAGGGGGGGAAGGGGTAGCGTTTGTTCTGCGGGGGGGCACGGGGGTGCTGGTTATGGGGGGGGGGGATTTGTTTCGTTTGTTGGTGATTTATGGGTATTTTTGATGGTTTTGAGGGGGGGGGGATAGGTGGTAGAAGGTATGGTCGTCGTATTGGCGGGTTTGAAAGAGAGAGAGAGAGAGAGAGAGAGAGAGAGAGAGAGAGAGAGAGAGAGAGAGAGAGAGAGAGAGAGAGAGAGAGAGAGAGAGAGGGAGAGAAATAGATAAAAAGTGGGAGAGAGAGAAGGAGAGTGGGGACGGGTAGAAAAGAAAGGGGAGAGCGAAACTCATTACAAGGAAAAGGGAGAGAGAAGGAAAGAGTGAGCGAAAGAGAAAGGGAGGGAGAGGGAGAGGGAGAGCGAGAGGGAGAGCGCTTCTGTGGGCGGGTTCCAACGAGCCTGGCGAGCGGGCGGTGCATCATGGCCGTCCACGTGGTTGTCTGTCACAGGGTCTCACGCAGGAAGTTACGAACGCGAGTAACTTGTTTTACGGTGTGGGGGTGGGGGTGGGGCTGGGGGTGAGTTGGAGGGGGCGGGGTGAGGAGGAGGAGGAGGAGTAGGAGGAGATGACGGCGTGGGAAGCCCTTCACCCTCCCCCCCTCTCTACCCCTTTCCTCTCCTCTCCCCCTCCCTTCTCTCCTCTCCTCTCCCCCTCCCCCTCCCTTCTCTCCTCTCCCCCTCCCTTCTCCTCTCCTCTCCTTTCCCCCTCTCCCCGTCTCCCTTCCCTCCCTCTTCTCCCCTCCCTTCCCCCACTGTACTCTCTATCCCTCCCTCGCCTTTCCCCTCTCCCTCCCTCCCTCCCTCCTTCCTTCCCTCCTTCCTTCCTTCCTTCCCTCCCTCTCGCCCAGTTTCCTCGTCGCCGTGCCATGCTTCCTGCAACATCGTTCATTTAATTGAAATGAGAGGTCTATCTTTTCATACTTACCATTATTATTATTTGTCTTTTTCTCATTATTATTATTTCTTATATTCTCGTCATTTTTTTCTCTTATTTTTTCGTTATTATGAATTTATGGAGCATCGTTGGTGCGCCGTCGCCCTTTCACGATCACAGTTGTTGCTCCTCTTCGTCTTCGCTCGCGTGACCTTAACCTTGTTTATCCCTGTCCTCTTCGGTTTCCCTGTGACCTCCTTCCTGAGTGGAGTCCTGTATCCGCTTATTTTATCTTTATTTTATCGCCATCAGTCATTTGTCAACATTCGTTCGTTTTCTGTTGTAAGGGCTTTGTTCTGCTGTACCTTCAGTTTTAACTAAAACACTCATTCTTGTTTTCACTCGGTACCAAAAGTCCTCTTCTTCATTCGTCTGGTATAAGCCTCGCCACATTCGCACATCCTTCTCTCTCTCTCTCTCTCTCTCTCTCTCTCTCTCTCTCTCTCTCTCTCTCTCTCTCTCTCTCTCTCTCTCTCTCTCTCTCTCTCTCTCTCTCTCTCACTCTTTTTCTTCCCCTCTCTCCCCACCTCTCCCTTTCCCTTTCCCTTTCCCCCTCCCTCCTTTCTTCCCTCCTTCCCCCTCACGTCCCGCTTCGCAGTTGCCGCCGCATCACTGCCGTCGCTTTCCTTCAGCTGCGCCCAATCAGCTGACGAGTAATTGTCTCCCCGTCGCTTGGCTGTTGTCTCTCCCAATCACTTTTCCGCCTCCAATCAGCCAAGGGAGCGAGATTCGGGGCGTAGAGTCCAATCGGGGAACGTTTTTTTTTTTCGGTCCGCAATTTCTGTTCGGCAACGTTTTTTTCGTTTCCGTTTACGTTTATTTGTTTTTTTCCATTTGTGTCTTGCTTTTGTTTGCCTTTTCCCTCCTTTTGTTTGATTTTATGGCAACGGCACTTTGTTATAGTTTATATTTATATTAATTTTTCTAATCGTTCTTTTTTTTGTCTTGATTCCCTTCTTTTCTTTTTTATTTTCTTCTTCGGCTTTTTATCACAATAACGGGCTTTCATTTGTGTTTCGTTTCCGGAATGGGATCTCTCGAGCGGCAGTGTCACAGTACCCCCCCTCCCCCCTCCCTCACTCCTCCACCACTCGTCAGACGGCATTGCCACCATTCCTTCACACTCCGCAAGCATCTCCCGAGCGCGAGCTTACACGCACACTCACTCACGCACGCACGTACACATGCACACACGATTGTGCATGGATGTACGGGTACGTTCACGTTTTATAGCATGCAGTTTGAGGAAGTGGTACATTGGGACGCGCACACATGCGCGCTCGCTCTCACTCACTCACTCACTCACTCACTCACTCACTCACTCACTCTCTCACTCTCTCAATCTCTCTCAGCCTCTCTCAGCCTCTCTCAGTCTCTCTGTCTCTCTCTCTCTCATCCACTCACTCACACTCACACACTCACCAAAGCACATATCCATCCGCACAAGCGTAAATCACAAGCACCCACGCACCCGAAAGCGTAAATCCACGCCCGCTCATACTCCGGCGCGAAATTCCGTTGGCAGGAAGTTGCCGAGGTGCGGCGCTGCGGTTCTGCGTTACGAGCCCCGAGTGAGTCTATGAATGAGTTCCTGCGCCGCGCCGTGAGGTTGCGGCCGCGATTAAGGAGGCCTCAGGTATGCTCAGGCTGCGGGGGTATTGCGGTCTGGGGAGGCGCATGCGGGTATGGAGGGCAGACGCCGAGATAAGGGAGGGTACGAAGGGGGGGTCGAGCGGAGGGGTGAGGAGGGGGGGTGCTTTGGCGGGGGGAGGGGGGGGTTAGGGGCTTGTGATTTTTGTTTTGTTTTTTATCTTTATTTGGTTTTATTTAATGTTGTGGGTTTGGTTTGATTTGATTCTTGCTGTTCTTTGTTTTTTTTTATGTGGCGTTTGTTGCTTGTCACTCGATACTCGATAGAAATTTGAGGAAAAAAAAGAAAGTATTTCTTTTTGGACTGCAAAATAGATGACTGAAACGGAACTAAAGATTTTTTTTTTTTTTGGGGGGGGGAGGCAGCAGGTTGGGTAGTTGGACACGTACAGAATATCGAGGACCTTTCTGTTATGATTTTTTTTTTCATCTGGATTCTCGATGATATATTGAACAGATATATCCTCCCTTCTCTTTCATTTTGGAGAGTTGATCTTTGAACCAAAGGTGGAGGACTTTTTTATTGATTTGCT